CTGTCCTGCCTTTATCTGAATAAGATGCTTTAATATGCTTTCCTTCTAGAGATGAAACAATCACCAAGAAAACTGGTGAAGGTAGGGAAACACCCCCCACTGTGGACGTGAAACTAGAGCCTCACAGCAAAATCAACCTCAGGGTGCCTCCCGCTCCACCTCCTTCTCCAGCTGATGCTACAGACATAAGCAAGTACAAATTAAATCATTTTAAGATGGGCTTGTGCACAGATGCCAACAGCAGAGCTTGTCTGGGGTCTCTGGCCTTGCCTAAGAGTGTCCTAGACATCTTTGTCTTTCCCTTTTGTGCTCTAGAGCTGCTGCTGAATGTTGCTTGTCTGTGTCCCACAGAACACTGAAGGAAGGACAGGAGGGTTTGTTTGGGTGTATGCACTGAGTTGATAAAGTGTAGCATGGCAGCAGGTGGCTTCACTGTACACAAGTGTGGGACAGCTGCTTGTTCCCCTCAGCAGACTAGAAAAAACAGGCAGAACAGGACCAGGGTCAGGCTTAACCTCTTGAGGGGCCTGTGCCCAGGGCCACTTCCTCCAGCTAAGTTCTACCCCCTGAAGACCCTACAGCCTCCTCAGCAATGTCACCATCTGGGGCTCACACATAAGCCCATGGGGGGGACAGTTCACATTTAAGCTAGCACCCCATTAATGCATAATAACTTGCATTTTCAAGCCGAGTCTCTGAGATGTGTGTGTTTGGTTTGACTATTTGATTTGGGCTATGCTAGCTAGTTGTCAGTTGTACTTGAGATTTGTTTGTTTGTTTGTTTTACTGAGTCTCGTCTATATAAAATCTGAACCATTTGAAAGTCCAGACCTCTATGGCAGTCACTCTAAGATTCTGGGGTCTGGACACTGGAGAGATGGCTTGGTGGATAAGAGCACTTGCTGTTCTTCTGCAGGGCCTGAATTCAGCTCTCTGAGGCTCACAACTGACTGTAACTCTAGTTGTAGGATATTATTTTGTTAAAAAAATAACCAAGAACATGTTATATGAGTCAGGCAGTGTTCTAGTGTTGTTATTGTGTGGGGTGATCAGTCTCTGTTCCAATGGAGTTTGCATTCCAGCAGGAAGAGACTGGCAACCTACAAACATAAATTCTATCATATACTTGGAGGATTAAAATAGAAAAAACTATATATGTACTTTAGGAAGCAGTGCCCTGGTTGCAGTTTTAAGTAGCATTATATGAGCATGCCTCTTTAAAAAGGTGACATTTGAGTAAATATTTAAACCAGTGACAGTTAAGTGTGTGGCTGTTGAAGATAGAGTATTGAGCTGCTGTGAGAGTTTAAAGACAAAAGCATCCATGGCACATTTGAAGGACAACATGGAGGCTACTTGGGGTTGGCTGGCATCAAGACATTAGTAGAAGATAAAGTCACCCAGGGAAAGGCGAGAAAGAGGAGATGGGAATAAAAGGGAAAGTGGGGTTGAGAGAGGAGGAGGTGAGAGGAAAGGAGGAGGTAAGAGGGGAGGCGTGGGCGGGGAGGAAGTGAGTCCCAGAAGGCTGTGACTTTGAACAAGATGGGAATTAATAGAGTTCAGCAGAAGAGGATCATCTGGCTTGCATGCTATGGAATCATTCTAGCGGTTCTATGGAGAACTGACTGTATGGGTGATGGGTTGGAGCAGTCCAGCCACTGTCCTAGTAGCTTAGGAAAGAGGCAGACATTTGAACAAGAGCCACTTGAGGTGAAGAGAAGTGTGGTCAGAGTATGGTCCTGTGTGCCTGAAGGACATGCCAACAAAGGATGCTGATAGATTGAGTAGGTTATAAGAAATATGGATGAAGGATGATTCCAAGATGTGGGGCCTTGGACCAGTATGATGGCTCAGTAGGTAAAAATGCTCACCATCAAACTTGATGGCCTGAATTCAATCCTTCATATCTACATGATGGAAGGTGAGAACAAGTTCTCATATGTTGTCCCCTGACCTCCACATGAGTGCCATGGTATGTGCACAAGTAAGTAAATGTAGTAAAACATTTAAAAAAGATGTTCAGCAATGGGAAAGATAAAACAATTCCACCAGCAAGAGATGCAGGTTAGTATGATAAGGCAACCCAGGAACTCCATCCCTGCTATTAAACATCCAGATGGAGACTGCCAGTAAGCAAAAGAATATGCAAATTTGGTGTTGGAGAATAGTTACAGCATTCAAGATGATACTCTGGGTGTTATCAGCATGGAGATAGTATGTAAAACCCCATTTTGGTTGTCAGAGAATCCCAAAACTGCTGGAGAGATGAACCATGGGCTTGGAGCATTTTCCATCATAATCTGCAGGATCAAAAGGAGAAAGCATAGAACAAGAAAACAGAAAGTAACAGCAAACACAGAAACATGTGAAGAAGCAGTTTGGGATACAGGAGCAGAGAAAAAAAAAGGTTTCTTCTCCCCACCCCTCCTTCCTTTACTGTCTTCTTTCCCAAAGCTGGGGTGTAGCTTATGGAAGGAGAGAAGGAGCTTGGGCAGCGTAGGGTGGAACTGACTGGATTCCTCACCTGTCTTGTGTGCTATGAGAAATCACATCACAATCTCTCATGACCTAAAGACACTTCTCATCTCCTACTCATTCAGATACCTGGCAGTTTGTAGGGTGAAAGAGTTCGTGCATTCTGTCTTCGGGGTCTTTGGGTCAGTGTTTGTGTGTGTGTGTGTGTGTGTGTGTGTGTGATTAAAACCTGGTCGTTAGAAGCTGAATTGTATTCCTCAACCCAAGTCCTATGTTGAAGTCTTAATCTTAATACAAACTGAAAAATCCTGAATTTGAAATCCTCCAAAATCCAAACGTTTGAGGGCATTTACTTGATGCTCAAGGTGGGAAATTCTTCACTTATCTTTATGTGATGGGCCAAATAAAATGAAGTCACCCTAAAAAAAAATTATCTTCTGACTATGTGCGTGCAGTGTACAAACACCTTGTGAAGGTAGCTGAAATGAGAGATGCTATGCTCATCAGGCCTCGAGGAGAAATAGCCCATCCCCAGCAGGGACAACAGCAGAGGAGCAAAAGGAACCAGTGTTCCTATGCCTCAGGCCCACTCCTGAAATGTCCCCACATCCCTGTGGAGATGAAAAAGTCTTCCTTTCCTTTTCTGTCTTTCAAACAATGTATCTGAGAGATCCAAACACCAGATTGAGGCTAGCAGATGTGGGACCAGCATTGAAGATGTGCACATTAGTAACTACTGCTGGATAACCATCTGGATTCTCCCCCATGGTGAAAGCAGGCCCATCTTAAACATAGATGTACCTCAGCAAGAGCCAGGGAGATGGAAAGCTTGGATTGACTGATGTCCCAATGGGACAAAGTCCAGGCTGAATTGTCAAGATAAAACACACTACCACTATTACACCACATAGAAAGAAATTAACTTCAGTAACTAAGAAGCAGAGCTCTGGGACGATGGCTCAGTCGGTTAAGTGTTTGCCTTTCAAGCATGAAGACTAAGTTTGACCCTCAAAAGCCATGTAGAAATCTAAAAGGCCAAGGATGGTGGTGAGTGCTCATGATCCCAGCACTGGGGGAGAAGACAGGAGTTCTGGAGCTCACTAGTTCAAATTACTTACTTGGCAAGTATCAGACTAGTAAGAAAGTCTCTCTCTCTCTCACACACACACATATGCATACACAATCGGAAAAAAAGTAGATGGTGCTGAAGAATAGCACCAGGTAGTTTGCTGATTTTCACACACCTCCATGAATACACAAGTGCACATATGCATTCACACATACTCAAATATACACACAAAATGTACACACACAGGAAGCAATGCATAGGTTCTAAGGGAGGAAGAGTTAATTATGGGTGGAACAGCTTTAGTTTTTACAAGATGGAAAGAGTTCTGCATATGGTGGTAATGTTGGCACAAAACCATATAATGACCTGTTATGTGCATTTAAAAATGGTCAAGATGTGACCCATGAGATGTTCAGCTAGTTAAAAGCTCTTGCCACCAAGATAGACTACTTAAGTTCAACCCCAGGCCCCACACGGTGCATAGAGGAAGTTTGACTCCTTTTAATTGGCCTCTGACCACATACACATGCTCCATAGCATGTGTAGTAATGTTTAAATGGTTATAATGGTAAATTTTCATATATATATGCAAGGTGTGCTCACCTGAGAGTTGTAGCTTAAGAATCTGGTACCTAGCTGGCCATGGTGGCACATGCCTTTAATCCCAGCACTCAGGAGGCAGAGGCAGGTGGATCTTTGTGAGTTCCCAGCTGGTCTACAAAGAAAGTTCTGGGAGAGTCAAGGCTGTTACACAGAGAAACCCTGTTTTAAAAAACAAAACAAGAAACAAAAAATTGGGTAGAGGGGGAGAGGCTGAAGAGATGGCTCAGTGGTTAAGAGCACTGGCTGCTCTTCCAGAGGACCCAGGTTCAATTCCAAGTACCCACTTGGCAGCTCACAACTGCCTGGAATTCCAGTTCCAGGGGATCTGACACCTTCACACAATGCACATACAATAAATAAGTTAAATAAACTTTTTTTTTTAAAAAAAGAGAATTTTTAAAAAAAAATCTGGTACCTAGACCAGGAGTGGTGATACATGCACTTAATCCCAGCACTCAGGAGACACAAACAGGTCTGTGAGTTTGAGACCAGTTCAGTCAACAAAATGAGTTACAGGTCAGCCAAGGATATGTAGAGAAACCCTACAAAAAAAATCAGTACCTGTAACAACAGATAAAACCTGAAACCTGAAATGAATCTAGAAGAGTGGGCAGGCTGAAGGAGAGATGCCAAAGTTGTTCAGGAATGGCAAGAACACAATTAGATAGAGATGAGGTGTGAATTCCGTGGCTGACCTGTTGCCATCCTGAACAAAATAGGAAAAACTAGGCTCAAGCCTCTCAGACAGACAGACACACATATAATGTCTTGAAATCATATCTTCCAACCCAGAAGTATTGTCTGACCACTGCAATCTGCTTTCAAGCAAAGATTTCCACAGATCTCAAGGACATTGTATGAGATGACTTTATTTCACAGGGCAAAGGGTTAAATACTGCCCAACTAAATGCTATCTGAAGCTTTAGGGACTGTAGAAAATGAACCTTCTACAGGATCATTTCTCTTTAGAACTACTGCTGTTTCTTAAGGCTTATGGTAACCACACAGCTTGCAAGACAATGGCTTCATGAAGAAATGACCATGCTTATAGTATTTGTTCCAGACTGCTACAAGATATGAACTTTTATAGATGAACACCCTTTTAAATGCTGACAGAAGAGAATATAGTATATGCAACTGTCCAAGTCCCTGGGTTTGCATCCCTGTCTAGTCAGATGGTGACTCTGCACATTGAGCTGGATGAATGAAAGCTTGAGAAGCAGAGGAAAGCTCCACTCAGCTGGCTGACTCTCCCTGCAGCTGCTTCACCCAAGAGCCTCAAACTTCATCATCTTCTGCCTTCACAGGTAGAGATATGGAGCCCTCACATCTCAGAGAGCTTGATATCGTAGGTGACCATGTTGAAGTTGTCCCAGGCAAAGAGCTTCCTCTCCAGGGGGTTGTAGTCGATCATGCTGCTGTATTTGTAGCGATTCTTGAATGGAATGGTCAGGGTCTTGCTGATTCCAGTGCCAGTGTCATAGGCAAAGTTGACAGTCGCATGGGTTGAGGAGTAGCTGCTGACGGTGTACAAGGTGCCACAGATAACAAAGGCATTGGCCACGGACTGCTTCCGGATGTTGGTCTCCCAGGTACGCTCAAGTTCCAGATTCTCTGGGTTCAATTTGGAGAGAACTATGGCTCCTTTGGCTTTCTCTGTGCTGTAGATGACCCAGAGGCCGCTTTCATCCACAGCTAAATCGATGTCTGTGTAGCCCCCCCAGGCATATGGGAACTGTCCGTGGTAGCCAGCTCCAGGAATTTCCTTCTCAGCCTTCACTGACTCGGTGTTCAGCTCATACCTGAGCACAGTTCTGGACTCAGCCCCCTGGAAATAGAGGCTCCCTGCATACACCACGGCACCCGTGCTTTCCAACGCACGGGGGAGCACGTGAACCTTTGAAGGGTAGCCCTGCTCGAACTGGCTTATCAGACTGTACTCAAACACCTGGCGGATGCCTGTGCCAACTGTGTCAATCCTCCAGGTGGTCTCCTGGGTGTAGGGATGAGTGGGCTTGGGGTCTCTCATCCATACTCCATACTTGCCAGTGATTGTTTCAGCAGTCCTCAGAGTGACTGGCTCTCCTACCCAGACTAGCACTCCACATCCTGATGAATTAAATAAATAAATAAATAAATGATACCATGAAGCTAGTATCCTTACATCTGCCAAACACAGATAGACCAGGATTGTGGGAGCAAAGCAGAGAAGGTGGGGACAGAATGGATGGACACCTGAGCCCTGATACTTACTTACCATGTGGCTAGTGAGGTGCTTAGCTCTGCAAGCCTGGGCTTTCTCATTTGGAGTTTTGTTTCGTGTGCATTGGCGTTTTGCCTGACTGAATCTGTGTGAGGGTGTCAGAACCCTGAAACCAGAGTTCAGATGGTTGTGAGCTGTCATAGGAGTGCTGGGAATTGAGCCCAGGTACTTTGAAAGAGCTGCCAGTGCTCTTAATTGCTGAGCCATCTCTCCATCCCCTGGCTTTCTCATTTATAAAGAGGGCTAGAAGTTTTGGGTAATGAGATTGTTGTCACTATAGATGTGATTAGATATACGCAAGTGCTTGGCCTAGAGAAATACATGGCAAATATCGTGTGATGAGTCTGTGTGTTGAGTCCTGTACTCAGTAAGGGAAATGACTGTATTGAACTCTGACTGTAATTTTCTCCTTGAACTTGGCAGGGGTTTATGGGTGTTTATTACAATGCTCTTTATGACTTTCAAGTTGGGTTTATTTTATTTAAACAAGAAACTGTTCATTGTAAATATAATTTCTATATGACAAAATTTTTCAAATCTAACTTGATGGGCCACATATTTGATTCATCCACTTAAAATATAAAAACAAAGTGTGTTTTTTTAAAAAATGTAAGGAAGAGATGAGAATTTGAGTTTAGTGGGTTCAAGATAAATCTCTGTCCCTTTGTGGGTTCCTTGAGTATCCTCACAAAAGGCAAACAGTGATGCTTTTCCCTCAGGGAATCCCACTTTAAATGCTTCAGGACTAGCAGGGATTGTTACTAACACAGTCGATATTATTTTCTGGAAACAACACAGGGACAAATGAACTTTTCCTTGATAAATAAAGGTCAGAAAATACCTTTAGTAACAGAAAGGGCAAGATGATGCACAGAATATACCTGCCCCTCCAAGGGTGAATAGAGGGAGGATATAGGGCTTATGGGGTTAAGGTCGACTTCCTGTGCACCCATCTAGGCAATGCAGCACAGAGGTTCCTACTTTCCTCTCCCCAGCTCTGCTCCTAGGAAAGTCACCTGTCTTGTCTCCTGGGTGATCGGTTGTTTTACCCAAACTGAACACAGAATAAGATACACAATGGCCAGGTGGACTCAAAAGGAAAGAAATCTAACTTTATACCATTATCTCCCTCTTTGTTCCTGGGCTGGCCAGATGGATTCTCCTTCAGTATCTGAGAAGCAGGGACCTCAGTTAACTCTGACTTCAGTTCCTGGAAGGCCAACGTGTCCAAATTCCACTGAGAGACTGTATTCAAAGAAAGAGACAAATGGTAGTTGACAAAGAAACAGCACAAGAATGGACTCGGGGGTTACACTTGACATGTTTCCAAATACTTGATGTTTGAGATCTGCTTTGGGGACCAGGTAAGGGAAGATGCAACATGACTAAACCACATTGATAGTTTATTGGAACTGGAGTGATGACTTCACTGGGATTCACTTTCCTCTTCACTTTTGTGACTATTTGAAAATGTGCATAATTAAAAAACTTACAAATAATACATTGCATAGACTCTGTTTAGCACAGTGTTGAATACTCAGCACAAAATAAAATGCAGTCAGAATTTTATGCGATTTATATAAATTCCACTAGAGAGATTGATTGCTAGTAAAGTATGGTTTCAGGAATTCAAAGACAGTCCATTATTAGGATTCTCTTAAATGTTTGAGCTTCAACAACTAAATACTCACTACAACTGAAAGGGATTTACTTGTTACATGTGTAAGAATACTTGTAAGAATAGATCAATTTTTTAACTATTTTTATTTTTCACTTGGCATAATTACATATTTATTGATGGGGTAAGGTAACATTTCCATATATGTAAACATTGATTAGTGATCAGCTCAAAATAATTGCATATCCATCAATAATATTCATTATTTCTTTGTTTTGGGAACATTCAGAACATTTTGCAGCTATTTTGAAATATGCAGGGAATGGTAACACATTAAGCTTTACATGTACCTTTCTTGAGATCAACTTGCATAAGGAAGACATGTTCGAGATTTCTCTAGAACTTTCTAGAAAAGGGAAGGCCACTACTCAAGGGTCATTGTGAGCCTTTTCCACACATCTCACTTCCCCAGTGGCTACCTCCCTGACTCTGCCACCTTTCTCTGGCTGCCTTTGTTTGGATTTCCCACCTGGCTCTATTCTGGTTGGCTATTGGCCAAGTCAGCTTTGTTTATCAACCAATAAAAGCAACATATATTCACAGCATACAGAAGAACATCCCACATCCCACATCAGAGCTTTTTTTTTTTTTTTTTTTTTTTTTTTTTTTATCCCTACAGGTTTTGCATATATATAATGGCTTCCAGTTGTATATTTTTATGGGGCTCCTGGATGCTTTTCTTTTGCCGTTCTTTTTCTCTTTATTTGTTTTGTCCTGTTCTGATTTAATTTAATTTTATATTTTATTTTATTATTATCCCTTAGATGTCTGCTTATTTTCTAACAAGAGACAGAAAGGGGATGGATCTGGCTGAAAGGGGAGGTAGAGAGGAACTGGAAGGAGTAAATGTATGGAAAATCATAATAAAAATATGTTATAGGGGCTAGAGAGAGGGCTCAGCAGTTAAGAACATTGGCTACTCTTCTGGAGGACCCAGGTTCAATTCCCAGCACCCACATAGCAGCTCACAACTGTCTGTAATGCCAATTCCAAAGGATATGACACCAGCACACAGACATATATACAAGTAAAACACCAACCAATGTTCATAAAAATAAAAAAAAAAAAAGAATATATCGTATAGAGCTTGGTGTTGGTGGTGCATTCCTTTAATTCCAGCACTTGGGAGACAGAGGCAGGTGGATCTCTGTGAGTTCAAAGCCAGGCTTGTCTACAGAGCAAGTTCCAGGACAGGCTCCAAAGCAATACAGAGAAACCCTGTCTCAACCACACACACCCCCCCCCCCCCGCCAAGAATATAGTGTATGAAAAAAATCTATTTTCAAGAAAAGAAAAAAATAATTCCCTCTGTTAAACATTAGATTTCCCTGGGTTGATGTCCTATGTGACTTCTGCATCTTCACTGGGGCCAGACAGTGGCTGGTGGCTTCAGGAGAGTGGAGCTCTTGTAGAGTGACCACACCTGGGGCAGAGCTTAGGCCCCATATGACTGCTCAGCACACCCATATAGCACACTCACAATCAGATCTTCTGCCAGAGAAGCAGGCACTGGGGTATGGGGTTCTGTTCCCATCCTGATCCCACCATGCCCACCCCCACGGTTGGGAACAGAAGACCTCAGCTCTGGCTCTCTTCCTGTGTTCCCATGCTCTTTATGGGGGACCACGCCTCATGTACTCTCCTTGTGGTAAACAAGAACTGTAGCAACACAGAATATCAAGGAAAGGCTTCCAGAGACCACGTGGCTTATTTCCAGTTGGCAGGTGCAGTGGTTGGATTAAGAACCTTCTGGTGGCCTCCTAGTCATCTCAGCCAGGAGCTCTGGCAGCATTGAGATTCTCCTGGGAGAGCCATCTGGCATGTCCGCTGAAGGCACGGAAGCTTCATGCAAAGGAACCTGGGCTGAGCCAGAAGTTGTAGTTTCCTTCAGTTCTGCCATGCCCCAGCTCTGGGACTTTGGGCAAATGAAAACTCTCCTATGCCCCAGTATTGTGAGCTGTACAAATACATAGGTTGTTTTTGAGGATTGTATAGGAACCATAAGTAGTCCCAAATAAGGAAGTATCCAAACTGATTTTCCCCCCTCTGGAATGTTTAAAATCACCAACATTTCATTTGGAATAGAGAGGGGAAACAAATGATTTTGAAAATAATGTCTGTATTGTATCAGATATTTGAAGCTCTCGAGCCCTTTATTTTTACTTTTAATAGTATTGATCCTTCCATCATTAAAATTTTTGAGACTATCTGCCTAATCTGTCTTTAACCTCATACGCTAAGGGAGATAGACCTATGGACTCAGCCCATTAGTAACTAATGTGTATGCAAATGCAAATGGCATTATAAAGAGTTTTGTAAATATTTCATATTACTGTGAAAAAGACAGTCAATATGATTTAAATGCAGAGAACAAGTTAAAGGAATGCCATGGCATTTCCAGGCTGACACAAACACTTCAGGAAAGTGAAAGTTAGTGAATAGCCTGTTTGCCAGTTGCCCTGGGTGCTGTCTTTAGATCCAGTGTCTGCTATGGAGACTTTATGATAAGTGTGTCCTGAGGTTCTCAATGGATAGTGAAACTCAAGCAGAGGAAAACATTGCAATTTCAACCCTTTGTCTGGGTGGCCACTCTGCCACAGGACCCCTTCCTGCCTACCTTTCCCTAGCAGTTGCTATGGCAACCTGACTCTTAGAGGTATCTGTGCTAAGACCGCAAGTCAGCTCCCTGTCCAAGTTTCTCCGGCTGCATAGGAGTTCTATGAGAACCAGCCTGACATTCTGTTTCTCATAGTTGAGGGACTGTCAGATCCAGGAGTGAGCATCCCCTGGGGCTGAGCTTCTGTTCTTTATGTAGTGAACAATTTGATGAGACCCCCCTTCTTTCCAGTTCCGATTTTTCATTCCTTAAATCACTTTTATTTTTGGTTGCGTAACTTTATATATATATAATGTATATAATCTTCATGATAATGATAATAATCTTCATGATAATCTTCTCTGTCTGCTTCTCAGAGCCCAGTTTGAAGTCTTAGCTACCACAGGACAGCTGTGCAGCCCTCAGCCCCTTAGCTCCTTAGGACCACACTTTCCTCCATTGTCAAATTCAGAATTGGATGTCTTCCAGTTTAAATACAAATATTTAGCTACGTAATCATTAATGGGAGGAAAGAGAGTGTGTGGTGGATTATGTAATGCCATAAAAGCAGAAATTAAAAGCAGAAATGGGCACTGCTTGGACGGCAGGAGCTAGGTGGGGGCTAGATTTTTAACCAAGTATAATAGCATACATTAAAAAGACCATGGAAACCCATGATTTTGTATGCTAACTTAAATTTCAGTAGCAGAAAAAAAAAATTCATTGCTGTTCTGTAGCTATTCATTTGAACCCCACAACAATAATTACAGCGTGAAATCTGTGCTGTGACATGGAAAAGAAATATACGTAACTGCGAAGAAAATAGCTTGTCCCTTGCCAAGCTTATCATTGACTTGAGTTTTCTAGCCTCACATCCATGCAGATTCTACCTGTCCTCGTCTTGTTTTAGACTGAACTGCACTCCCCATGCACCATTTACTTGGACCCAACAGTTCCTCTCTTTCTCTCACTCTTTCAGAGTAAATTGCATAAATCCTGACAGCTCGGCTCTAAGCACTTGAGCGATGCTTAGGATAGTGGCCCTCATAACTACGATATTACCTAAGAAATGGAATGTTAACATAGTAACCTCCCCTAATAATGAATTCATATCAAAGTTCTCCAGTCATCCCAACCCCATTCCTCCTGTAACTGTCCCTTGTCCAATTATTTGGTTATCAGGTGTTTTAGACTCCTTTATCTAAAATGAACCCTTCCCTCATTGTCATTTACTGACATTAACTGCTTTGAGGAATCTAGAAAAATTGTCCCACATCTGAATTTGTTTCCTCATGAAACAGGTGACTGTTTGAGAGCAAAACATTCTCAAAAATGGACAACAAAAATACATAGAAAGCAAAATACTGTTTTCTAGCCATCAAGAGTGGCATGTCCATTTCTTAATCCACCCAAAGACCCATCTCCAAGCAGGAACCAGGACAAACTGGAAAGCCCCTCTGTGAGCAGGCCCACTTCAGAACTGTTCAGGGAAAGCAGTCGTTCTCTGATTTAGCAACAAAAGGCAAAATTTTGAAAGCCACACACCAAGAGACCAGACAGAGAAATTGTTTCCTTTTTACTTACCAAGGTAGAAGATTTAAAAATAAAACATCACTAGACTTAGTGGAGCCCACCTTTAATATTAGCACTCACAAGACAGAAGCAGGCAGATCTTTGAGTTCAAAGCTAGCCTAGTGTAGAGAGTGAGATTTTGGGACAGACGGGGCTGCACAGAAAACCCTTCTTAAACAACCACATGAATTAATGATGATGATTATGATAGTAATAATAACATCAGTTTTCACTGCACAAGTAATTTGGCATGTCATAAATAGAAGCAATTTTGGTATGAATAACAATTTCTGAGAAAAAAAAAAAAACAAATTCTGAAAAAGAATTAACTATCCAGAGGGACAGCTGACCAGTTTCTACTGATTACTCACCGTCTATCTCTCACCTGGCCTGTGTTTTTCATTTGGCTGTTGGCAGTGATAACTTCATCATAAATGGGCACAAGAACTCAGATCCATTGACCTAAATAAGGAGCCAGCTTGCTAGAAACATGCAAAAGTGTTTGCTTTCCTTACCTTAATGCAGCTACCGTGTGTTGGATCCTGCCATTTCGGACAGAAAAAGACAAAACAGAAAGAGAAGCCTGGGATCCCTGTAACAGGTTACCAGCAAACATGCCTCCTCCTGGGTTGGGCAGACCCTTCACGCTGAGTTCTTACCTTCCCTGGAGCCTGGCAGCATAGCCTGAGAGGAGGGTTGGATTGGGGGACACTGGCCCCTCCTCAGCCTTGCTACCTCCTGGCTGCTGCCTTCCAGCCTCCTGGCCAGATCTTCTTTCTCTCGTTCCAGTTGCCTCTTCTCTTCTTCTAGAGCTGACTTGTCTTGTAGGAGATTGTTATAGGCTACCTCCAGATCTCTGGTTTGGGTCTCTAGCTGGTCCCGTTCCCTCCTCAGGGCACCCAGCTGGCCCTGTAGCCCCTCTCGGACCTCCTGGGTTCCAGCAGGCTGGCCCAAGGTCAGTTGGTGGAGGAGACTCTCCAGGGAGTTGAGCCGGGCTTTGATGGACTCTAGGTCTGCATGTTGGATGCCGTTGTCTCTCTGAAGGTCTTGGATGGCTGACATGGCCTGGTCCTCCCTGGGGCAGCTGGATTCAATGGGGCTAGCCACAGTGAAGGTGTACTGGCATCGGCCACTCCGATCATTGGCCTTCCGTAACTGCGCTGTCCTGGCTCCCATTCCCCAAACCAGGCAGGCCAGAAACAGCAGCCAGAGAGCTATCATCTTGGGACCACAGCTGCAGCAGCATGCACAGAAGGCCGTTGGTGTGGAGGCTGGGTGAGTTTCTTCTGTGAAGCTCTGCTGCAAGGTATCTGGATGGGTGGCCCTGCTGACTCAAGCCTGAGGTCCAAAGAGGTTTATATGTCCTGGGGAGCCAGTCCTGGAGGGAGGGTGAGGTAACCACGTGAAGCTGGGTTGGGTCAACCCCCGGGGGCGTGGAGGGGGGGGTATACTCACACTGCCAGCAAGGATATTAGGAGGAAAAAAGGGCTCCTTTGAATTATTTTTTAGAAGTCCCCCTGAATGGACTCCCCCACTCCAATAATGCACCCCCCCCCAAGTTTCTAGCCTGTTTGTATGCACAGGTGCATATATGCCCACCTCTCTGACAGAAATAACTGGTTGTGTGCTTGTTTGAACAAGCATAGAAGTTTAGTTCCTGTTTCACTGGGGACCCCACCCTGGACCAGTCACTGTAAGGAACTGGGGAAACAGATGTGCTGAAGAAGACATGCCCCGACGCAGAGCAGAGACAAAGATGAGCCAGAAGAGGCTAGTGCCCACAGGCTCCAGGCTCCAGGCTCCCACAGAGGAGCTGAGAGTAGGGTTCTTACCTTATCCTAGGTTTAGGATATATATGTGGACATTCTTAGGAAAACTCCCTAACCATAGCCTCTTGCCTTAGGAGTCTGTGCCAGTACTCTGAACCAGGTTTTATGATGTGTGTGCCCACAAAAGCCTGCTGGTGAAACCTGTGCAGCCATCTCTGAAGATGCTTTCCAATGTATAAAATATAAGTAATCAAAGAAAGGAATAATATCAAGTTTACAAATATGAACATATTTAAACACTTGAAATATATGCTGTATAACATATCCAATATAAATAAGGTCTAATTTCAAAGTACTTTGTGGAGTATGTACCGTATTTCATGAAACCTGTATCAACTGTAATATAGGAATGGAAACATAGGTTTTTGTTAGTATAACTTCAGGTTTATGGATACATCCGTGATTAGATAAATTAACTGAGTGAGGAGGTTGCAGAAACAAAGATGTAATTGACTTACCAATTCAGATTCATGGCCTGAAATCTAATATAATAATACCCAATGTTCAAAGAGAGCCAGCTACTGCAAAGGCAGAGGTAGAATTGAATTGATTCAGTCTAAAAAGAGTTCAGGGCCAACTGGGCAACAGAATGAGACTTCTTTTCAAGAAAAAAAAAGGTAACCCCCCCCAACATACACACACCTTCCTCCAAAAGAAACACAAAGGGAGGAAAAAAATAAATGAGAAAAAACAAGACAAAACTAGTAGGTGTTGCCAAGTACCAAGTACTATAAGAAGTTCGTGCAAGTCATGCTGATTGGTGTGTGCACATATGGTAGGTATGGGAGTGTAGGTGCGTATGTGCCATGTTGTGCAGGCGGAGGTCAGAGCAAATTTTTGGTGGGCTGGTTCTCTCCTTCCACCATGGGATCTGGGGATTGAACTCAGGCTGTTGGGCTTGCACAGTAACCACTTTCCCCTGATGTGCCCCCCCCCCCGAATACCTTAAAGTGACAATTGCATTTGAGTAATTTTAGGTAATCAGATACTAACAGCATCTTCAATATTTGTGTTAGAAATGTTTCTGGTATCCCCTAGCAGATTCCCCTAAAGGCTGAACAGGCACATGTTGCTCTAAGTATGTTCTTGTATGGGTGGGTATGTATGTGTCTATCTGTGAGCACACATGTGTGTATAGGTGTGCATGTGGAGGCCAGAGGTTGGTGTCAGGCCTTGTCTTCTATCACTCTTCACTTTCGAGACAAAGTCTCTCACAGAGCCTGAGGTCCACTGATTTGGTTTAATTGGCTGGCCAGCAAGCACCAAGTTTCCTCTGCCTCCACCTTCCCAGACCTGGGATTACCAGTGTATTCCTGGCTCTTGACATCAGTGTTAATCAAACATGCATAGCAAGTCTCTTACCAACCGAGCCATCTCCCTCACCCTCTAAGTTGTTATTGTGCAGGAATTCTGAAGTTAGACCTGAGCCTGAGACATTGACAAATGGCTTCTTGTTTAACTGCTGACTAAGAAATGCTAGTCTCACTTTGTAAACCTAATTCATTGAAAATATTTTTTTTAAAAAATCATATAGCCAGCAGGAATGAGGCTCAAATCTGTTTGCCTTCACTCTTAAAATCTTTCTTCTGAAAGAGCTAAGATGATTTTTGTCCTGCCAGCTGCATGGAAGAAAAGAATTCCAGGAAAGAAAAATGTCTGCCTTGCTTCAAAAGGAATAATGGTACTAGATTAGGGCTCCTGACTTCAATTTTCCTTCCACAGCACAGCTTGTGGTCCACCATCCATGCTTCCCAGGCCTTTGCTGAATCTCTGTCCCTTTTACTTACAATCTATCCCCTTCATCGCCTGTAAGCTGCAGGCTTGTCTGTAGCATCTCAGGCCTTGCCCAGCTGTGTGAGCCCTGCTCAGGGCTGACATGGACAATAGTCCCCAGAATATCCACTCATTCCAGCCCTGTTTGTGAATACCAGACACAGATTACCCATCGTTCTCTGCCCTCTTTATGGTTCTGACAGATGCATATTTTGGGGGGAAAGAATGTGGGGGTTTCTGTTGTTGCATATGCCTTCTTCAGTCTCTCTGGTTCTCCACTGTCATCTCTCCCCACCTCAAACGGTAGGTAGGGGCTGATGGAGCTTCCAAGTTCTGCTTTCATCCACCAACCGTCAGCACCTCACTGCTCAGTGGTTTGGGCTCAGCCTCCTGTTAGTTCTCATCTTCTCCCCACACAGAGCACTGGGGCCACAGGCCTCTGGGGTAAGCAAAGTGAGGCTGGGGAAGGGGTGGGTCCTGCTCAGTCACACAGCCCAAGAATGGGAGAGACAGGAGGAAACCCAGCTCCCCTGACTCCTAAACCTCACCTCACACCAGCCAGGTCAGACCCATACTAGCCTAGAAGTCATGAGACACAGCAGTCATTTCGTCCATGAACCAGTGCTCTAGGAAATGAGCTTGCTTCCTCTGTCCCCAGCAAATGAAAGCCTTCAGTGCCTGAAGAGTCACACAACACCCTTGAGCTTTTGAGCAAATGATTTTGTGAAACTGCATTCTTTCACAGAGGTAGAAACATTCTCCTCTACCCACAGAAAAGGGCTCTCCGGGAGAAACGGGGGCCACTGCACTCCACTAACAGCCATGAACATCTGGTGAGATGTAGCCTGCCCTTGTCACCTTCCTGTCACTCCTGGCAGGCCAGCTGCCCCACTCCCTGCAGTCCCCACCTCCTGGACTTCTGGACACAGAGACTCTTTTCCTGCTGAGGAAACACTGTCTGCTCCAAATTTTCAGTTAGGCTGAATTTCATTTCCATTTCCTTTCTGAAGCCAGGATCCAGAAGGAGCCAGCAGCCAGGAGCCAGGGAGTCTCCAGCTCAGATGTGCCAGGAGATGCTCATGGGGTGTGTCAGGCCAGCTGCAGCCTAATTGTTATTGTAAAAGTTTGGAGGGTGCGTGGCTGGGGAGGTGGAGACATCAGCGTCCTCTGGGGAGGTGACATTATTCAGGAGCATCTTGCATAACCATTTAAGGTTGCACTTGTCCCCCACCCCTGCTCTTTTTAGCAGTGGGTTTAAGTTTGTTGACTACTGATATTCTTCCGTGGGTCTGCTTCCTCAAATGATACACTGGCACTTCTGATTTTCTTTCTTTTCCTGTTGTTGTGATAAAATAGCCTAACAAAAGCAACTTAAGGTGGAAAGGGCCTAACTTAGCTCACAGTTCAAAGGAATGGTTCATCCTCCTGGGGGAAGTCAAGACAGCAGGGATTTAAAGCAACTGGTCACCTTACATCTACTATCAAGAAACAGAGAGCAGCAAAGCATGGTGTCGAACTCTTTTAATCTCTGCAGTTAGGAGGCAGAGGCAGAAGGATCTCTGTGCATGCCAAGCCAGCCAGGTCTATATATTGACACCCTGTCTCAAAAAAAACAAAATAAAACAACAATAAAATAGCATCAGAAACAAAACAAAGCAAAAGAAGAGGCAGAGGTCAATAAATCCTTGCTTGTGCTTAGCTCAGTTTTCCTTTGTATGAAGCCCAGGATCCCAACCTGGGGAATGGTACCACCAATGGTGAACCTTCTCAGTTAATCAAGATAATCCCCTACAGGCATTTCCAGAGGCTAAGACAATTTAAATAATCCCTCACAGGTGTGCCTTGAGGCTTGTCTCCTAGGTGACCCTAAATCATGTTCAATTGATAACTCTAACCATCATGACTGATTGCTCAATAAAATTCCAATGACTGCATGGTTGGATGGAAGAATGGATGGATGGCTGAGTCATGCATAAGTTATGGTGGCCTTTGTCTTATCCCAACACTCAGGAGGCTGAGGCAGAAGAATTGTGAGCTGAATAGCCATTGTGATTGAGAAGGTTAAACATGCCTATAGTATGTGTGTTTTCTTAGTCCATGCATATGAACAGTCTAACAGCTATTCAGCAAGGGTCAATGAAATACTCTTGACGTTTATAATGGTTCATCTCACATTGGAAGTTTATACATTACCAATCAAACACAGTGTACTTATTCTCTTTCATAAAGAACCAGAACTGCTCTTGACCTAACAATGCCAACTAACAATTGGTACTCAGGAGAAAGGACAGCAGAATTTCAGAAAGACCAAGCATGCCATAGGAGCCACACATGGGAAACCCATGTAGGGCCGTAGAGTGAAAGGAAAGTGTAAAAGATGTCCCAGCAAAGCTTTCTGGATTTTGAGGAAGTTCTTGGATAAATAGAATGTGGCTTTGCTTCTTGAACTTAGACATGGAGTTTTACTTATGAGTTGGAGCAACCTGCTTTAGTTTTGACACTTCGGAGCAGCAGATGACAGATGAGTAGCACTGACTGTCCTTCTCAGAGGAAGAAGCAGGACATTAAGTGACTTGTGAATTTGTGAAGGGGTTAGAATGAAGTGTGCAGTCTCCTTATGGAATCCCCTGTTCCCACTAAGCTACCACTGATACCACCTCACCAACAAAATATATTAAAAGTTAAAACATTAGCTCTGAGCAGTTTTAAGTTTACACTGACTTTTCTAGGAAGATAAGTGGTATAAATGTCATTGTCAAAATGATATTTATAAAAACTCCATGTTATAAAAATTTAAATATATTGCCCTTCCCTA